TTGTTTTTAATGCATGTGCTAAACTTGCTAATGATCGAGCAATGAAAATTGGAAAAAAACTTCTTGATAATATGCCTAATGATTATCGAAATAATAATATTCTATTAAATTCAGCAATAGATATGTTAATGAAATTTGGTGATGTTCAAAGTGCTGAACGCATATTTGATTCAATCAAGAAGAAAAATATTATTAGTTATGGTGCTCTAATGAATGGTTACAACATCAATAGTAAACCATGGAAATGCTTTAAAATTTTGGAAGAAATGAAACAACAAGGTGTTGTTCTGGATGAGCACGCATGTAATATACTTATTGGTACATGTTCAAAAATTGGTATGATTCGAGAATGTCAGTACATTATTGATCAAATTCCTTTGCATATTCAAAATCTGAAACAAATACAAACTTCATTGATTCATATGTGGGTAAGTATTGATTATTGATTATCATTGACTAGTCCATTTTATTAACTACTTGTTTGTTTTGTCATATAGAGTAAATGTGGTTCTATTGAAAAGGCACAAAATATATTTAAATCAGTTCACAATCAGGATATAATGATATACAATGCAATGAGTAATTTTATTTATTTTTATTTCTTGTTTGTTTTAAATATTATATAATTTTTTGTTTTTAAGTTAGTGGATTTGGACTTAATGGAATGGGTCTTGAAGCTATTGAATTATATAGAAAAATGCCGAATGAATTGCAAAATGAAATTACACATATTTGTGTATTAAATGCATGTTCTCATTCAGGTCTTCTTGATCAAGCTCGAAATATCTTCAATGAAATTCCTTTGAAAACAGAAAAAATCGTAACTGCTATGGTTTGTTTTTCTAATATTTTATTTATTATATTAGATTAGTTGTAATTATTTTATATTATATTTAAGACTGATTGTTTAAGTCGTTTGTTTTTATTTGATGAAGCAGAAAAATTGATAGATGAATATGAAAAGACAAATTCACCAAGTTTTATCATGTATTGTAAGTCCTTTTCATAATATTATATTGATGTATTGTGTATTTATTTATTTTCTATAATTTTAGCGTGTTTATTATCTGGTGTACGTAATAATCGGAATAAAAAATTATCTGAGAAGATCTATAATCGAATGAAATCTTTGTTTCCTGATGAAAAAGAAGGTCTTACATCAAGTGTAATTCTTGTATCGAACCTATATTCATCTGTTGGTGAACATCAACAAGCAAAAGAATTTCGATTAAGTCAAATAAAAGAATTAGGAAAGAAAGTCAAAGCAGGTTTATCATGGACTGATGGAAGTGGTGAAATTGTGGTAAAGTATTTCTATTAAACATTAAAAAATGAGGAAAGTTTGTTTTGTTTTCTAGGCATTTTTGGCTAATGATAATTCTCATCCTCAATTAGCCGAAATTCATGATGAAGTTAATCGAATGACATCTGAAGTGATAAAACTTGGTTACAAGTGCGATTCTTCCTGGGTTACTCGTGAACTACGGGAAGAAGAAACAATTGAATCAGCTTTAGGTGGTCATAGTGAAAGATTGGCTTTAGCCTTTAATTTTATTCAAAGACCTGTTCCAGATTTTATTCAAATCACCAAAAATCTTCGTATTTGTGGTGATTGTCGTAAGTTACAATTATTCATCTCGATCGTTCTTTTAAGTATATATATATATATATCTTTTATTTTTAGATGAATATACAAAACTGGTGGCTAAAGCTCGGCAACGTGACATCATCATTAGGGATGCTAATCGCATCCATCATTTTCATAAAAATGGACAATGTTCTTGTCAAGATCATTTTTGATCTTTTTTTTTTTGTTGTGTTTTTTTGTTGTTTTCTTTTTGTTATTAATATATTGTTGAATAAAGAACTCTTTATCTATATCATATATTTCACATATATATCAGGAAAGAGACAGAATAAGCCGGATTACAGAATATTATTATTCGGTTTTGCACATAATTTGACGAAAGAAAAATTCATATTTTTAATTCTTTCTGTTCTACATAACTGTGTGTGACGAATTATGAGAGTGACTGCCTATGACTTTCGGCACGATGGTGTGTTGTGTCATCTGCACTCTCACAACTGTCCCTTTCGCTTTATTGAACATGCCTTATATATTAGAAGGAACGGTCACACATGATAGAACAAAGACAGATATAGAAGGTCAGTGCTAGGTGAAGAGGTCACGATACAAAGTGAGAGAAAATATATAATAGGTGAAGCATAACGGTCATCCGCCGTTACACTGTGGATCTCTTTTTTTTTCTATTTCAGAAATTAGATCTGATCGAAGAATTTTGAAAGCCATTGTATATATATATATTTGATTTTTTTTAAAAAGAGTTGTGTTATTGCTGATGACGATGATGATGAAGGAGCGGAAGAAGTCAAATCATTTCAGGTAAAAAAATCCTTTAAAAAAAGTAATCAATTAATATTTGTATACATATATATATTAAGGAACAAGAAATGGAAAAACAAAAATTACTCTATGAACAAAATCGAGTAGCTAGTTGAGGTGCTGCTGAAACTGTATTATTATACATAAGTGCAAGCAAAGGTATTTTTATTAATTTATCATTTTTTTAAATATATTTAAATTCTAAATAAAGGTAAAAACAATGAAATGCTTTGACGAACATTACAACTTGATATATCATTATTACATGGTGGTAATCGAGAAGTTCAAAAAGTAAATTTTAATTTTATATGTTGTTATTATTAATATTGAATTGATTTTAGCGAATGTTAGATTATTTAAAAGAAACAAAAGATGTTGAATATTTTACTTCATTAGCAACATTAATGGCTAATTGTAGTGTATTTGATCTTGATACATTTGAACGTTGTATTAAAGCTGAAGTACTTGGTATGTTAATTTATGATTTATTATGATTATATTAAAAGTTTTTCTTTTTTTTTGTAGGTGTTGGTTCGAAAGAAATGGCTGGAGAAAAAAATTTACATGATGCTGATTTTATAATATCACTTTTTCGTTTTTGTCAACTTTTATGTGAAGGACATAATCTTGAATTTCAAAATTATCTTCGTTTACAAATTGGAAGTAGTACAAATGTGAATATTATTATTTGTACTGTTGATTATTTACTTAGTTCACAAGTAACAAAAAAGGAGAAGAAAAAAAAAGAAAAGAACTTTATAGAATATTTTTATTAATTTAGGAATCATTAATGGATTTTTATTGGCATTATTCAGGCAAAGAAACAATTGATGCATATGGAAAAGAAAATCTTTGTCGAGTTATTATTGTTGCTAAACAAGTTTTTAATACATTAACAGAATATATTCAGGTTTGATATGTCAAAAAAAAAAGATCATCATTATGTAGTTGTTTTTTTCTTAGTCTATTTTTAAATATATGAAAAAATTATATAAAATTACAAGAATATGTCCTAGTGACGAGACAATCTCTCCAGAGATCAAATCGTTGTTCGACCGAGATGATGTTCACTTGATACATAACAGGATAGTTTGGTTTTCCGGACTTTCGTTCTTGAGATAATCGAAATTTTACTGGAGATTTACCTGATCAAAACTTTTTTGTTGAACAATTCAGTAAACTTTCGCGATAGCTCAAAAATAAAGATTTGGACAATCAAACTGTTCTATTACTCAATAAATAAACATCATCTCGAGATGGGCTACTATGAGTTATTTTTTTTTGTATATTGTATATTATGAAAATATGGTGTCTTTTATAAGATTTATCTAAATACATCTCAATATAAATTAATTAATCGTAGGACTGACTTTTTTCTCTCCAGTGGAATTTATTCTCAAAAGACTATTTTATCATAGGGGATTGTCATAGAAAATTCTTAACATCAAAATAATTCTTCAGCAGATCTATTCGAGATATAAGGTATAACAAAATTATAGATTCTTTTCCATTCTATTTTTGAAATTTTTCAACAGAGACGAATAGTTAGGTCAAATCTAAATAGTGATTTGATTAGCCATTAATATTCTCTATCGAATACACCTTTGGATCAAAATTTCAAAAGAACTTTTGTGAAGAGAGTTTTCCAGAAAATCCGTTCACTAGAATTTCATGTCCTGAGAAAAATATTCTAAAATACACTCATATGAAAGCGAGAAAAATTCTGAACAAAATGAAGGGTCGCCTAGCTCTCCACGATGTTTCGTTGAAAAGTGATAAATTAGGCAATCTTTTGAGTTTTTCTGATGCTTATAACTTTGCAACGAAACATCATCGAGAGTTAGGTGACCCGTCATTTTGCTCAGAATTTGTTACTCTTTCAAATGACTATATTTAACAATACTTTTGCTAAACTTCTATAGGACATGAACTTTCAGTGGACTAGTTCTCTGGAAAACTCTCTTCATAAAATTTCTTTTAAAATTTTGATCCCTATTGTATATTCGATAGAGAATTTCAATGACTATTCAAATTACCGTTTATATTTGACCTAGTTATTCATCTTTGTTGAAAAATAAAAGACAGTCTATAATTTTTAGTTATACCCTATACCATTCTCTTGTACCTAATTCCCTAATATAAATTGATCACTCAGTAGATCGATCCTTTTGTCCAGCGAAAATATTCTAAACTAGGGCGTTCGAATCCTTACTCAGTTCATTAGTTTTAAATTTTTTTTAAATATCCAATTGAATTATTTTTCTAGGGTCCATGTTCACAAAATCAATTAGCATTAGCAAATAGTCGTTTGTGGGATGCAATTGCTGGATTTTTCTATATTTTTGCACATATGCAAAGAGAATTATCTCAAGTAAAATTTCATCGATGAATCTTTCTTTTTATAAAATTTTTTCATTATCTAGGATCCAACACAAATTGAATTATTACATGAATTTATGAAATTACAAAAAGATATGATTATTATGTTATTATCAATGCTTGAAGGTATTCAATATAATTTTTGTTTTTTCTTTTTTTAAATTAATATTTAATCTTATTCTTTCATTTTTAGGCAATGTTCTTAATGGATCAAGTAAATTTTTTTGTTTTTTCTAGTGTCTATTTATCTTAGTTGGTAAACAAATGGTTGATACATTAATTGAATCACAAGTTAATGTTGAATTATTATTAGAATTTTTTTGATATATTTCTTAAAATAAAAGATTTAATAACATCTGAAGCTTTTCAAGAATATGATATAAATAAAGATGGATTTATTTCTCCAAAAGAATTTCGTCGAGCTATGGAAACACAAAAAGTCTATACAAAGTAAAATTATTAATTAGAAAAAAAACAAAACAAAAAAGTATTTTAATTTTTTTATTTAGTCAAGATATAGATTATATATTAAATTGTGTTGATATAAATCAAGATGGAAAAATTGATTTTATGGAATTTACAGAACGTTTTCATAATCTAGCTAGAGATATTGGTTTTAATATGGCTATTTTATTAACAAATTTATCTGAACATATGCCACATGATATACGTTTACAACGTTTAATGGATAAAGGAAAAAGTTTTCTATCATATTTTCAAGATCATCTTGATAGAATTGAAATAAAAGGTGGTGCTGATTATATTGAACGTGTTTATTTTGAAATAACTGAATTAAATATTGAACAATGGAATAACACCACATATTAAAGTTTGTTTATTTAGATAAGAAAAAACAAAACACAATCATTTTTGCAATAATATTAAATTTCATTTTAGGAATCGAAAAAAACATTTTTACATTTAGTTATTAATGAAACAGATGATAAAGAAAAATTAGAACAATTTATTAACTTTTGTGAAGATACTATTTTTGAAGTAATATTATCATATGAATACTAAGAAATGTATCTCATAAAACAATAGTAACAGCAATTATATCATGTTTTCTTCGTGCTTGTGTTAATAACTTTTATTCAATAGAATGTAATGTATATCATGAAGAATTTAATTTTGTTATGAAATTTTTAATTCATTAAAATCAATTATCAATTCTAAAAAAACAAAAAAACTCCAATAAAGGATTATTTATGTTTAATTTTGAATATTTGTTTATCATTAATTTTGTAACTACAATATATTCCACAATCTAATCTCATCGTAAAGGTTCTCTAAACAATATGATTTACTTGACTTTTTTTAAAGTCAAGCAAAAGAATAAAATAGCAAGCGATATTAGCAAATCTATCCTATGTTAACGAAAGAAGTTTCTTACTGCCTTAGTCGCTTTTGAATTGGCGCTTTACGCATCATGCAAGTTTTAATAAGCTATGAATATTCTGAAATGAACTCGGACTCTTAGTTTATTACTATGGAGACATTGTATTTTTATGGTACTTTTTAACTCAATGTCGTGACTGGAGCTCATCGGGTCCGGAGTGGCATTAAATTGACTGAAAGAAAAAATAGCAAAACAGTCTGTAGCAAAAAAACCCTTGGAATCATATGGATTTGTCAAAAAAAGTATACTTCAACGTTTTCGACCAGTGGAATGAAGATATTTTACTGTATACAGAAAAATAATTCCTGTTTAAGTAGACCAACAAAAATAATAGTGGATCAAAAATATTCAGGCACAGAACTAATAATAGAGCTATATGATTCTTTATGTGGGTAGGATGTGGATGTGGATATCAGTTCTCGCTTCATCCCTAATCTTGAATTCTACATCTTACTGCTTGATAGAGTCACTTACTGGCATCCAAGACATTTTCCAGGAAAATATATTTTTTCACCATTTTTATATGATCGACATTTTATGTGTCGGCATTTTTTCTTTCGCCCATTTTGACACATATCCAGGTCTGGGTTGGGTCCGGGCCCGACAAATTTTAATCAGCTGAATCTGAATCCGGATCCGAAAATTCTAGTCATGCTCTTTCAAGAAAACTAGTTTTCGACTTTTCACTTATGGCTTCGCATAGTGACAGACCTGAATGAACATTGTTTATTGTAAAAGTTTCCGATCTTTTTGGATCTGCTATCCTAAAATAAAAACATGGAATCTGTTAGTATATATGAGTGATATAAAAGACATGCTTTTATCATAGTCATATCTTGGAATCGGAACAACAAAAAGATTTGAAACTGCCATAATAACCTATTCTCATTAAGACTGTGAGACGTTTCGAATCGAAATTCGAAAATCAATTTTTTCTGGTGTTCCTGGACGCAATCACTTGAAAAATATTGTATCTTTTTTCAATACGGAATTTTCTTTTCGAGTAAATATCATGATTAATCGATTTGAAAAATACTTTATAGGAATTTTAGTTGAATCTTATCTTTATAAAATCATTTAGACTTACTGGATTTTTTTTTGTAATAGAAATTTTTTATAGAAAACTTGATAATTTCTATTGTTTGATTTTCTAATTTAGATGCAACATGCAGTTGCTATCAGTGGTGAAGAAGATGATCAAACATATCGAAGAGCAAAATCTTCAAATATTGAATCAAATATTGTTCATCCACCAACATGTAAACCTATGAAATTAGCTCTATCATATTCTTGATCGAGTATAAAATATCTTTTTCATTTACTTCATCCATCAACAATTTATAATACTTATAATCAACTTCGACAAATGACATTTAAGGATATAATTAAAAATTTATATTTATTATTAATCAAATGTATGCATTTATTATTGATGATAATAATTTTTGGATTTAGGTATGTTAAAGAATTTTATTTCAAGCATGAATTTATTATAATCAAATTTTCTTTAGTTTTTTTTTATATTAAAAAAAAAACTATTTCATCTAAACATTGTTATTATAATACTTATAACAAGGAAAATCTTTTTTTTGCTCTTTAAAGCTCAATGGATATTTTGTTTTGTTTTTCATGTTTATATAGAACATTAACATACTGTATTTGGAATTTAATGACCGAAGATGATCAACAAAATATACAACGACAAGAACAAACTTCTCCACCATCACTACCACACCGACATGATTATCGTCTACGTATGTTTCAAATTCTATTGCAAGAAAAAAAATAAAAGATCAAATTGAAACTTGTTATTTCTGTTGTTTTTTTTATTTTAGCTTCGATCAGTATTCCACATGGTTCTGAGAATGGTGAAGATGTACTAGGAATCAGTGCATTTAGAGTTGGTGTTAATTTAGATTCAGAAGAAAAACATAGGTAAACATATATCAATAATTCATTTCTTATCGTTCGTAGGTTTTTTTTTTTTGTTAACATTATAGAATGTCTTTAACTGATGAACAAATAAATCTACTTTTAATGGATAGTACTCGAATAATGGAATCTTGACGTAAATCTCCATCTTCAGGTAGTATTGGTTTATCAACAAGACAATCTTTATTTTCATCAATGACAAATACAACTACACCGTTATCACCATTAACAACATCTAATCGAAATCAACCTGTAATAACACCTTCTGGACCTAGTGAAGTAAGTTCTTATTATTTGTATATGTTGATTCGAGTATTGAACTTTGTGTTTTTTTTGCTTTTCTCCAAAGGTAAATAATCAAATTGAATATCAACAAAAACGATCATCGCCAAATATCAATGGTACAGTAGGCGAAGATGATGATGTCACGCCTTCGGAACCATCAACACAAACAGATTTTGGAAAGAAAGCTCTGGTAAATAAAGTCTTAATGAAGGATTTTTGTTAAACTACACCATGAAAAACATAGGATTTTGTTTAAGAAAACGCAAAGAGAGATTTTTTTTGTTTCCAATAATGAAAACCGCATGTTTCTATCAAAAGTTATTGAAAAAATGATCATCTGCTTTATATTTTAGCGTTGACATTAGTTTATGATGATGATAATCATTCTCATATAAGAAATTAATTTATTTCATTTTCGTTGTTTTATTCAAAGTTCTGTTAAAAACCTCCATAGTGAGCGAGTGTTCGAGATTCCTTTTAATATGTTCTAAGTATTTTATAAATAACTTGTTTATCTAAATCATATATCAAGAACTTATACATTTAAATAATGACTGACTACGAGTTTAATACAGAAATGTAATTTTTTTTTTTTTGAGCTAGTGGAAAATTTAATGCCTCATGCCCTGTTAATACCTCTCACAATGGTAACACAAAGTGAACTAGTATCACGAAATACGGAGAAAAAAGAAGGGAAACAAGAAACATGGAAGAAGGAGAGAAAAATAAAAAGGAATAATATGGAAGGGGATGTAGGGCATGACAATAAGCAAGAGTACAACGTGACGCAGAGAGTACAGAATACAAACTAAAAGAAAGGCAGACAGTATAGAACGCTACCACAAGAGATATATTAGGAGTACGAAACGTTGATAGAGTAGTTGATGAAAGAAATCACACAATAGTGAATACGAAAGGTACAAGATGAAGAGGAAACAACAAGTAGATACAACGATAAAGCATCAACAACAACCATTACGACGATCACTTGGGGAGTGGGAACGGGAAATGGTTGGAAGAGAGATGAGGGAGTTGATCGCTTAAACCTTACGATGGGTGGTATTCCCTATAATTATAACGCTTTTCGGCTAAAGAAATGATGTTGGGTGGCAAGCTAATAAGTCGAGGTCTTCTTTTGTAATCATTGGGATGTGATCATCTTCGGTTCGTTCCATCCACCTTAAGCATTTTTCGAGTGTAGTAGTGTATGGAACTATTATTTTTGAACGATATATATGTTTTATTCTTATTTCTTTCTGTAGCCATAATCTTCTCCAAGTGTTCCAAGCGTGTTGTTCGGATAGGAAAAGTCCGTCCGTGGAATTAAACAAGTGGGACTTATATCTTTTCCAATAACTCTTGCATCTACCTTCCAGTGATATCTCATCACCCAGAGAGGCAAATATGAGATCGTTCTAAGCTAAATCACCCAGACATTTTCTCATACAGCTAAAGTAAAAGTGGGCTAGATCATCCCGCTGGCAATCTGTAAATAGTGGAAAGATACTAAATAGCCATCCGAAAAGGGGGAGCACGTAAGCGATGAATATGATTCTTCTTAATTCCTTCGATGATGATCCATAGATCATACACTTCCTAGCGATGGCTACTCTTTGTTTGATTTTATCTTTGTAGACGTTTATCATTTTTCCCCACCCCAATTTGCTTGAGATATGATAGCCTAGATATCTGAATTCTTTGTTCCATTCAATTTTATGTTCGTTGCCGTGGATGTCAAACCTAGGGTTCCCTATCGCTCTAGCGGACCACATCAGTTTAGTTTTTTCATAATTAATGGGTTGGCAAGCCAGGACGGCATAGTATTCCAGATTTTCAAAAATATTATTTAATCGTCTTTCGAGATCAATACATTGTAATGTATATTTTACACCCATGCGTCCTCCTACTACACATGCTAGATCATCAGCAAAGAAGTTTGGAAGCGATTGATTTAAGAACTTCCACATATCACAGTGGTATGCTAGGAAGATGACTGGGGTAATGCAAGATCCTTGCGGTCCTCCTCTCTCTATTCTAAAATACCTAGAGCGAATGTTGTTCATTTCTATAAATCTCTTTCTCCCCTTTAACCACCACTCTATCCATTCGACAAATGCTTTTGGAATGTTAATTCTCAATAACTTCCCCAAGCACCCTTCCCACCACAGTTGGTCGAAAGCCTGGGTAAAGTCGATGAAAACTGTGGCTACCGGAGCGCTTGTGCTCATAAGTGAAGCTATCTGATCAATTATGTTCAAAATTCTCGTTTAGAGTCTAAAATTCGATCTGAAACCTGATTGTGCGTTGTGTAAGACTCCTCTATCTTCCAAAACTTTTTGAAAACGTTTAAGAAAGAGTCTTTCTAGAATTTTCAGGAAGATATCTAGTAAGGAGATCGGTCTCGTATCTTTGACTGTGCTGATCGAATCCTTTTTTTGCTAGAAGTTTCATCTTCACGTGTTTCCAATATGAGGGACCTGTATAGGTTCTGAGCGAATCATTAAAGATTTTCAATAAGGGTTCAAAAAATCTAATTAGAATATACTGAAGCATGTACGATGAACTATACAGAAATGTAATTGATCCGTCTTTATCAGTTGAAAAATATCCTATATATGTATATATGCCATTTTTCTCCTGATTTCTTCTATTCATCCACACGGTTTCATTTGTTTTTTTTTTGAAAAGCATAATCAAAATTGTATTTCTCAAGCTAAACTTCTATCGTATATATGGTTTGGTAAAGATCAAATTTATGTTTGAATTGTCATTCGAAAAGAAATGAATGGCATCACCTTCATAACCTTGGAAACGATTAATATTCTGTATCATTCGACTCCTCAATATGTAACCTAACAAATATAAACAACTACAACACGATTTGTAAAAACTTGAGTGTAGAAAGGAAAATGAATGTTTTTGTTTTGAACTCATTCTCACTAATCGATTAATAATGATTTAACAAACCTATCAGTTTTTGTCAGATTTTATCAGTCTAAAAGATTTTTTCGACTAGATCAGTTCAAAAACTCTCGACTGATGACAATTCTAATTTAATACTAAATAAAAGATAAATAACATTTTTTTAAGCTTGATATTTGTGAGGAATATATTTCATGTTGCATGTTTACTTGCATATTATATCAAAGGATTTATCGGTGGTTTTTATCCAGTTCTCGAATTACATAAGATCAGGAGATTTATCGATCCTGATATTTATGAGAATATTTTACATCAATAGTGAATGTCAAAAAAAAAAACTTGAAATATTCTTCTTTGATCATTTTTAAAATAGGCATAGATGGCAAGAAATTATCATACATTGAAATTTATGGCTCTTTGTCTTGCTTTTATAATTAATTTTCTTATGTTATTTTATAAGGTAAAAATCTTTGTTTTGTTTTTTCGTTAATTGATGAAATTATATGTAAACTATTTTAGGCAATACCATTAACTACAACAGTTAGTGAATCAGTTTCTTCTGATGATACAGAACAATTTGATGAAGATGACAATGAAATAATAGTAATGGATCCAAGAAAATATTATATGATTTATTTATTACGAGCAGCTGCATTTTTACATTCATCAATTGCATTTTTAATGATGATTAGTTATTATAAATTAAAGATAGAAATATTTAATTCTTTTTTTTGTTTTTATTGTTAAAATAACGATTTGTTTGTTTGTTTTGTTCTAGGTTCCATTAGTTATATTTAAACGAGAAAAAGAAATAGCTCGAAAATTAGAATTTGAAAGTGCTTGGTTAATTGATCAACCAAGTGAAAATAATTCTTGGATATTATCATATTTATCACGTGAATGGTATAAACTTGTTATAAGTTCAAAATCATTTCCTGATTCTTATTGGAATAAATTTGTTAAGAAAAAAGTTCGAAATAAATATGCAGATCAATTTGATTATGATGAATTAAGTCGATTTTTGGGTATGGAAAAAAATGATACACCAGGAAAATTTGAAATTATTAAACCAATCGAAACTGGCTTATGGACAAAGTATATAAAACAAAACAAAACAAAAAAGAATTTTATTTTATTAATTTAGGATTAAATCTATTGATATGCATTATCTAATTTGGAAATGAGGTGTTATCTTTACTGATAATGTAAGTCATAATGAATTAAAAGATTCAAAAATCAAAACAAAAATTTATTTTCATATTACTATGGATTAGTCAGTTCTTTGACGAGCTGATGATCTTATATCAAATAGGTTAACATGTGCAAATATCTTCTTCTTGTGTGAATATGTTTGTGAATGTTGTAAAAAGTACAGTACTTGATTTTCACGTAGATGAAAATGTATCTTCAAAATTTCAAGGGTGATGAATTGATTTGACACAGTCGTCATATGATCAAGTAGAAAGCAAATAGTAGCAAGGCAAACAAAAAGTATAACACCCGCAAAAACAAATTTCTGTTCAAATAAATATTATGATAATGAGGCTAAAGAAGACCTCTAAGTTTCACAGTTTAGCTCCAAGGAGTTGCACTGATAAGTACTTTTTGATGTATAGTGTATCAAACCAAGTTTCAAAAGAAGTGTTGTACAATCTTTTGCTGGCATCACACATATTACGATGGAATCAGTTCTAATAGAAAAAAAAAGAAAATTGTTGGAAATGCATTACAAGAATAGATCCAATTTGAAATAGACTAAACTTTTTGTAGATCGACTAATATATTCAATTGATATGCTCTTAAACTACATAGACTTATAAAGCAACGATTTTCGAGATCATTTGTTGTTTTTTGTACAAACATTGAAGAATATTACATCGGACATAAAATATTCATCTGTTCATTCGAATGTTATAAAGGAGGCCTCGAAACAGACTGCTCGGACTGACGATTTCATCCTTTTTTTGACATAACTTTTTCAAAGATTTAGCTCACCCTGAGAAGGAATAGAGAAAGCTTCTCCACGCTAACCCCTTAGTCATCGTTTTCTTATAAAAGCCGAAATATATGGAATGGCTGTCTATTGAGAAAAAAGTTTTTGTAAACGAAGTTCCTTTCAGGCTCGGATCGGGCTATAAAAATGTGTTCCGATTTCGAGGTCAGTTATACAACTAACATGAATCTCATATTCAGAAAAAAATATATTAGTGCAAAAGTCTTCAGAAAACGACTAGGATTTTGATTATGGCATATTCATCAAGTTCTACATCGTTCTAAGAGACATATCAATCAAATTATGTATCCTAGTAAATGTATTTAATCAGAAGTACTCGTCTATTGGAATGACTTTCAATAGGGTGGTTCAGACAATAGCCTACTAAGTTCGGTTTCAAAAAAGAAGAGCACGAATCGATCCCATTTCTGCCTGATGTCCACTGAAGTACTTGTCCAATTTCTATAGTCGAATGGTTACAAATTTCAATATCTTTCAAAGAAATTCTTATAATATTCTTATTTTTTGTTTTTTTGTTTAGTCATTTCTTTATGTTTTTTTCTACTTTTTATTTTCAATTATTGGTAATTTCGCATTTTTTGTCTTTACAATTCATTTACTTGATGTTACAATAAATGTAAAAGCTTTAAGTATACAATATTAAAATCTATAACACACAATGGTCGACAAGTAATTATCTATAAAAATTATTTTTTTTTGTTTTGATCAATTAAATTTTTCTATGTTTTAGTTACTTTTAACAATAATGCTAATGGCTGTTGTTGTTTATCTTTATACAGTGATTGTATTTTATTTTTTTTGTAAATTTTATACAAAAGAAGAAGATGAAGAACGAGAAGAAAATTGTAAAGATATGTTTACTGTAAGTCAATAAATAAAACTAAACTATTGTAATCATTTTATCTTTACCATGTTGGTACAAATATTTTCGTCGAACATCTCATGCGAAAAGTCAATGTCATAGTTATCTCTAGTTCGAATTTCGCTAGAAATCACTTTAAAATAACTAAGATATTATCTTGTATATTAAAAATATACATTGAAGATGAATCTTTAAGTAGCATTTCATAGGGAGAGAAGGAGGGGGGGGGGCAGTTACTTCTGTTCAGGAATGTATTTTGAATGTTTATGTTTGATTTTAGTGTTTTAAATTTCATCTATATTCGGGTATTCGAGCTGGTGGTGGTATTGGTGATGTACTTGAATCACCTAATGGTGATCCACTTGAATTATATCGAGTTGTTTTTGATATAACATTTTTTTTCTTTATTATTGTCATTCTTCTTGCTATTATTCAAGGTAAAATTGAATTAAGAAAAAATTTTCTGGTATTTAATGAAATTTTTTAGGTTTAATTATTGATGCTTTTGATGATCTTTGTGAACAACTTGATTCAGTGAAAGAAACACTCAAAGTAATGCATAGATTTTTTTATTTATTTTTATCTTATTTCATATTTATATTTTAGTCAAAATATTTCATTTGTGGAATTGATCAAGATTATTTTGATAAAGAATCGCATGGTTTTGAAGTAAGAAAAATTAATTTATGACAAAAAAATACAAAAACAACTTCAATCTTTTTTTTCTTTTAGACTCATACACAAGCAGAACATAATTTTGCCAATTATATGTTCTTTTTAACACATCTTCTTAATAAACCTGATACAGAACATACAGGACAGGTGATGTTGTTGTTATTTGATAAAATTTTAAGTTAAATCGATTATTTTTGATTTTTAAGGTCCCCCCCCCCCCCCCCTCAAAAATCGATCTCAGCCCAGGTACGTTCAAATGGGCTGAAATTTGGAGCATATGTTGGGGCTGATGTGTGGAGGCTGTGGTAAAATTTTCAGCTCGATACCCTGATGTTTGACAGAGATATGAACCAAGCAAGGGTCAAAAATAGCTCATTTGGCAATCCATTTTTCTCTGTCAAAGCTCATTCAATATATTTAAATTTTTTTTTGTGTTTGAAAGAGCATCTCAAGATGCAGTGCAGTACAGAGTCCTTTTTTTTAAATTATTATCTTTTAAGCGGAGAAAAGGGCTGACAAGTTCAATGACTCAAAAAACGCGCCAAAAATGGTGGTCTGTTTATATAAGTGTTTGTATATATAATAAAAAACAAGCTTAATTTAAAAAAAGGACTCTGTACTGCACTACATCTTGACGTGCTCTTTCAAACAAAAAAAATATATAAATATATTGAATGAGCCTGGACAGAGAAAAATGGATTGCGCGGTCCAGAAAGCCTGAACTGAGAAAAAACGAAAAACATTTTTTGAAAAAATTTTTTACCATATTTTAACATTTTAGATACTTTTTTGGTAGATTTGACTAGAATAACTACTAACTGTCATATATCTTTTATAACTATGCACAAATAACCTTCTTTTGGCGCTTATTGAGCTTCACTAGATGAATAATTTTATTATTCAGGGCATAAACATAATGGGCTTACTGGAAAATATTCTAATGAAATTAACTGTGAGTTATCTCAGCCCTCTTTATTGCATCTTAGCCATGTATGTTCTCTCTCGTATTATCTAATGAGTTCTTCTTGTTGGGTAGTGGCGCTATCTTTCGTCCACTACCTCACTTTTCTTCTCTTTCTTCTATATTAATAATTAACTTTTTTCGAAAGAACTAGTTGGTTAATTGTTATGTGCCAAGGCCGTTTCAATTTAAAACTATACTGACGATTATTTATATTACAGTTTGCATGGCATTGCATAGATAAATTTATTTTATCTGAAGACCTACTACCAGACTACCATTGAACTTGATTGCAAATAAAAACTTCTATCTTGATTCTTGATCATCGAAATTCAAATTTGTATTCCTTTTATCAAACACTATATGGCGATAATCTTGAGTGCATACTAGTTTCTTATATTTGACAAATCATTTTTTTTATAGATTGGTAGATATTCTATTTTTATTGATTTGTCTTTTTTTCTATTCATAGTATTGTTTAGTTAATTGCTGTTCATCATTTTGGCAAAGCTTTCGATGACGATGATAATTCATGTCAAAAAAAAAAAATTTTTAAAAAGAGCTACTTGTTATCCTTCATCAGATTATTATTTGAAAACGAATAATTCATCTGGTTTGTTTCTTTTAAAGTTTTTAATTAAAATCTATCATTAAATATATATGTCCAGATGAATTAATAAAGCAAGATTCATCGAAAAATGAAATCTTAACACACACTAAACATGTTCATTTTGATACAATTATTTCCTAATTATCATGATCGTTTTCGACCACAAATACCATCTAGAACAACTACACAAATTGTAATACCTTCTTCAACAACGAATAATGAAAGTATCGTAATTGGTGATGAAGATATTAATCTTCCACATATATATTTTAAAGAAAAAGTAGAATTTACACCATCTGATTCACAATTAAATACAGACGAGTGATCCATATGATTGAAATTAAAAAACAACAAACTCAAAAATACAATTACGCCTTTTTTTTCTCTATTGTCGTATATTCAATCTAAAAAGAAAACATGTTCAACATGATATTTGATTATTTTTAATAGACAAGATGTTCATGAATAAGATAGAAGAATAACAAAAGACGAAAAATTTTAATGTTTTAATTTTTGATTACATATAAATATTACAGAAGAATTCAATGCAAAATTTTTATTTTATATTCGTAGTTAATGTTGTAAGTAAGAGAAGACTCATGCGTAGAATAAAATAAAAATCATTCTTTAATATCTTTACAATTTCTATATTTTATTTTCATTCTTCTTTGAATTTCAATATAATACAAGAAGTCTTTTTCTTACTTCATAAACTATAAACAAGAGTCATAAGAATTTTATTAGGAAATTTGACAACAAGTGTTTATTGTGAATATTTATATCTAACGCTAAGCAAGAATGTTCCAAAGTAAGTTATTTAAAATTGTCATAGAAATTATTCTCCATATCTTATTCTAGAAGAATCTTTAGTATCTTGTCAATGTTTATTCATTTTAATGGTCGTTGTTTTGTATATTGTGTTATTTGACGATCACTTTCAATAATTACTGGCAACACTATAGTACCTTCATCATTCATACTCATTTGTATCGTAGGCAGTGGTCTATCTAATCCTTTACTTACACTTCGTCACACAATGCCAGCAACAATTGATATGATTGAAAAGTTATCTTCATTTTTTCAGTCTTGATTGATGTGATGATTTTGCCCTTGATCATCCTGAAGTAAAAAATATAATAAATATATTTATTAAAATAGCTGAACATGAACATGCGAAAGAGCTACAAGAATTTTGTTATAATATTTGCTTATAGTTCATCTGTTGAACGTAGTTTAAATATTGCTGATGAGATAATATCAGAAAACATTTTTTCTGCTAAAGATTTTTCGTTAATAATACAATGGCAAAATGAAAACGACATAAAATAATTTTTAAGCCAGTATAAAGAACAGAAAAAAATTTCAAATAGATGTACCAGAAAATATTCAACTTCTATCACAATTTGATTGTACTTAAAATTCATGTTTTCATCTATTGATGATTTAGCTAAAACACATGTTACTGATGTTATAATACTTGATGCACTTCGTGAAAGTCGAATACGACATGTGATACTTGTTGATCGACGTGGACTAATGCAAGTATCATTTACTTATAAAAGACCTTTGTGAACTTACTAAATTAACAGGCTTACAATTAGTGTTAAACAAAGAAGATTTTAATCAAAGTGATCAAAATATGATTGATAAATTAGAACGACCACGCAAAAAGATTAACTGAATTCATGTTTAAAATAGTTCGAACAAGTTTGTATCTTTGAAATTTATTATTATTTTATCTAGAATGATCAAAATATAATGATGAACAATTTTTGGTATTTATAATTTTTGCGCCGTCCAAAACAATTGTTGAAAGTGTTCGTTTCGAACATACAAAACCTGTAGCTAGTTGTGATTTTTCTAATGAAAATCTATCCGTCTAATAGAATGGAATTAAAGAAACAAAACCATGTAGTCTTGTCATTAAAACTATAGATTATTATGATATAATCCCCCTCTGTACTACATAGTCTTGAATAAATTATTTAGGACTAGGATGTTGTCTCATTCAATGAATACCGCACTTACTACGATGTTCCATTTATCTTTGTGATGTTTTTCTCGACATGTTGTTGATGTTTATATAGGAACTTCTAATTGATACTTTCTATATCAATTGACCATAGGCTGACCAATTTCGAGCAGTCTAACGAAAAATTAATAGGTTCAACATCGTTAATTAATATTTACACACTTATCACATTGGCCATTACGAACATCAACAAATTTGTATGTTGCATCTGCACATATACCAGCCACATAATGATCTGCTCGAAAACTTCAAATATATGAATATATTTAAAAAAAAATTAGAACAAAATATGCCAACAAGCTCTGTATCGTTGACAATTATCACAATATAATTGTTCAATGTTATCATTGAAACTGTCTATAAATTTTTTTAATGTAAATCAAAATATCTATTGCAAGTTTCTCGTGATATATATTTCGGTTCCAACAATGCTTTTGTTTCAGTTGCTGTACTATATTCATCAGTATCATAAATACATAGTATTGTAATTTTTTAACTGACAATACCTTAAGTTTAACATTAACAATGAAAAGATGAATAAGAAATTGTTTGATTTTACTGCACAAGAAAACATCAGCATTTAATAAAGCTCCAGTAAGAATATCCAAATGAGGTACATTGTTGATGTAACGTAAAGCAGTTACCATCATAATATTTCGAATATCAGGTTTTGGTGTTTCATAAACAAAAAATATAATAATAATGCTGCTAGCGAATTTTGTGTGGGTGCAGCAGCTGTTGCTAATGACAAGAAAATTGTTTTATTCAGTCTAATTTAGAAGAGACTTCTTCACCATTCAGTTACTTGATGCTCCAGAAATGCAATCAGGAAGTAGTTAACTAGACGATATTGAGACACGATCTTCGACCGTATATCAACAAAATCTGTCATTGTCTCTGATACAACAAAGAGATGTGCAGCAACTAAAAGGGTTCTTCATCAGAATTAGTAGGCTCGAAGACCTCAACAAAACCACTTGAATGAGGATCTGCGGAAGATCAAGACGTCCAAAACTAGATTTCTTGTATCTATTCGAAGGTTTTGAAAAATATTTTTATTGGATAGAGCAAAATGAGATGTCTCCGACCTCTTCATGAACTTTCTTTATCGAACTGTCTTTCAGGCTCTCCGTAAATCGAAAACAAGTCGATGAAGGAAGTACATGGAGAAATTGATGACGCTCTATTTTGCTCTATCAAATAAAATTTTTTTCGAAGATCCTAATCCAAGCAGTTCTGTTAAAATCTTTGAACCTGCTACTACTACTTATAGAGAATTGTTTCAGTTACACAAATGTTTTATATTTCAATATTCGTTTCAGATCGTGTTTCACAAAAACATGATATCAGATACAATAGATGAATTATTTCTTATATGTTTTCATTCGATTTTGATTCATTGAGTATCGATAGTGTCTTTTGATCATTGATTCAAAGCTTTCTCAACTTCTTCTGACGATCGATTAAAATCGATTTCTTCAATGGATGATTCTACAGTAGTCTAAAGTTTTTCATATACTATAAAAGATGAGTCAATCATTTGTCATAACAATGCATTATTTTCGTCTTTCAATTATCAG